TTGTGTTTTCTGTAGAGACACGGTTTTGCTATGTCAGTCAGGCTGGTCTTGAACTCCTGGCCTCCCAAACTGTTGGGATTATAGGCATAAGCCACTGTGCCCGGCCTCATACACTTTTTTCAATGATGCTATCTTTCATAGGAAAATATTTTTAAATGAAACATGTATCATTGATGTTCATTTTAATTCATCTATATTTTTCAACTTTAATCCAAGGGATCTGGTTCTTTTAGGCATTATTTCTCCAAATTTGTGTTATTTCATCAGGATATACTAAAGTTATGCAATATACTTACTACAAACTTACTCTGGGAGTATCACTTTACAATCTGTGGACACTGCTTTTGGTTAGGACCTACTAGGGATCAAAAGGATGTGGAAGAAAAACCTTGGTCTCCTGAAACATAGGAGCTGACATTGTGGCTAAGGAGAGATCATACCAGCTAACACCAGTATAGGAACATCAGGCTGTGCAGATTAAGATGAGGTGAAGAGTCCAGAGAAGGAAAAACCAGCATTAACGGGGTTTAGCAAGAGAAAACTCAAAGACAGAAGCCTGAGAAATAGTATAGAATGTTCTTAGCTAGAGACTGACATAATAAAAGCAGTATCTTTGCAGGCAAACTCTGGTGGTTATATATAGCATTGCTGCTAACGACTAGTTTGGCTTTTCTTCTGTCTTTAATGTTTTGAATCTTTCCACAGAATTAAGGTTTACAGACCTGGCTGCAGAATGGCAGGAGAAAGCTGCCTTCCCTTTCATACAGGCAGCCCTAAGAAAAGTGGGCCTTGGACTTTCCAAAATGAAATTGACTGAAAATATTTAAGCGTTGTTGTCAAAAGACTATACAGTGTCCTTGGTATTTGTAGGGGCTTGGTTCTAGGCTACCCCTCACTCTTCTGCAGATACTAAAATCCAAGGATGCTCATTCTCTAACATAAAATAGCTGTAGAATTTGCACATAACCTATGCATATCATCCTGTATACGTTAAGTCTTCTCTAGACTACTTATAATACCTAATACAAATGCTATGTAAATAGTTGTTATACCATGTTTTGAAATTTGCATTTTTTAATTGTTGTATTGTCAATTTGTGTTTGTTTTTCCAAATATTTTTAATCCTCAGTTGAATCTGCAGATGCAGAGCCCAAGGATATGGACAGTATTTAATCAGGCTAATTTTATTATTATTATTATTATTTTAGAGACAAGTTCTTGCTTTGTTGCCCAAGCTGGAGTGCAGTGACACAATCATAGCTCACTGTAACCTGGAGCTCCTAGACTCAAGCAATCTTCCTGCCTCAGCCTCCCAAGTAGCTGGGACAACAGGCACACGTCACCACACCTAGCGAATTTTTTTTTTAATTGTGTAGGGATGTAGTCTTGCTGTGTTGCCCAGGCTGGTCTCAAACTCCTGGGCTCAAGTGATTCTTCTGACCTCACCTCCCAAAGTACTGGGATTACAGCTGTGAGTCACTGTGCTTGACCTAATCTGGCTAATTTTAATAATCAACTAAATACTACCAAGTCTATCCAGCAGTCTCCCTTTGCTTTTCTTGTGGAAGGACTTGTTTTCCAGAGAGAATTTCTATTATATTCAAATTAATAGAAAAGTGTGAACATTTTCAAACCAAACAAACCACCAATAAACTGCCTGTTATGGCAGATCTAAATTCCAGGCCTGGTAATACTCCCTGAGGTTGGTGAGCAGAGAAGAAAGAGATACAGGCACTGTGACATGAGGGTACATTCAGTCAGGTCAAACATTGTGTGGTTGAAGCAGATAAAGTCTCTGTATGACTGCCAGCTGTTTCCTGTAGAACTTCTGCAGAATGGGAATAATGATATTGACTGACAGAGCTGTTTCAATGAATAACCATTAAACAGCACATTAAAACACATTATTTGTAGAGTGCCTCCTTGATTCTCTCTTTCAGTCCATTTTCTGCAACAAGTCTTAATACGTTCTTCCCAAAAGTCTCCACTGGCTCCCCCACTGACTAAACTTCGAAAACAAATTCCTCACCCTGCAATTCCAGGTACTGCTTAATTTGATTTTGCCTCAGTGCTCCAATCTTAGCTCCCCCTGCTCCTCCTGAGAGGAGTTGAGGGCTGAAATAAGACCAGTGCATTCTGAGAGCAGAGAATAAAAAGCAAGATGGCAATAGGAATTCACGTTCCCTTGAGGAGGTTCTCTTTCTTCCTCTCAGCCAATCTTTTCCTATCAGTTCAAAACCCTCATCATCCACAAGTCTTCCACACTCTGGTTTGGAGTTTTTGGACTCTGACCTACTTATTTCTTTATCTGTACTGTACACTATCAACACTGAACTCATCTTGCATTGTGGTTGTCCAGTGCTGTCTCTCAGCTCCTTCTAATGTGTACCTACCCACATATTAGCAACTCAGAGGAGCTCTCCACCAACTGAATATGCATTTTCTGTTTAGAAATTAGGGAGTCGCTTAAGCTGCAGGGAAATTTAGCTCAATAAGAATGAAGTACTTAAAGCCTCCCTAATCTCTTTAGGGTGTTTCACCTTTTTCTTCTCTTTAAGTCTTTAAATCTTGCTTTGCATTTCTATACATTTAAAAATATGTAAAACCAACCTTTTGTAATAGAAAATTCCATTCAAAATAACTAGGTTAAGGAGCTTATCACAAGTTTCTGTTATCTCACCATTTAAAAGATGCACTTACTTGTTAAAAAGCATGATCTCTGGCAATAAAATTGATGTAATATTTCTCTTTATTGACTTAAAATGTGCTACGGAAGAAGGTGCCTTTGACATGTGGTCTCAGGATGATAAAGGTATTATTAAAAAAGAGTTCTAACTGAGTGAGTCTGTACCCATAAAACAGAATTTTATTAACCGGTAGGTAGCCAATTGCTCTGTGAACAAAACAAAACAAACAAACCCTACGATGGGTGATTGGGTGACCCTGAGGAAAGCCTTAAAAAATGATGTAAGCTGTTATACTGATGTACGGTGTGAAGAAAGGCAAGCAACAGAAAGCTGTTATTTAAAACCAGAAAGAAATCAACAGCAACAATCTAATTAAGGATGAGTTGTACAACAGAAACATAATCTTCCTGTTTTAATCTCTACCAATCAGTTCTTACTAGATTATACTGTTTCATCTGAGGATTTATAACATAAAAGAGATGAGTGGTTGAACTTAAATGACCTTTCCTACTCCTTTCCCTGAAACGCTAACATTCTATTAGATAGGAGAAAAAAAAAAAAAAAAAGGAGAACAAAGAGATTGGTGAACATGAAAAGGGAAAATTGAAGAAACAGGAATCTAAAGAGAAGACTGAGAGGTAAGCAAAGCCTTACTGGTGGACAAATTCCACTGAAAATATGGAAAAAAAAAAAAAANAAAAAAAAAAAAAAAAAGACTTTAATTGTAACAGGAGAAATGAAAGCAAGAGAAGAATTTTCTGACATGGAAATTGAATATAGGAAGAAGTTATGAAATCTTCTTCCCTAAGGTATAGAAAACATAGAAGAAGAAGAGGGATAAGTTCTCAAGGGTCCTCTCAAGTGATAAAAATTTAGCCCACAAACTCCAAAAGATATAGAAAGACAAGTGGATTCAGGGTGTAGTGACAATAGTTGCCTCAAATTCTTTTAAAAACGAACCTTAAAAAAATAATCTCAAATCTTGTTAAATAGTTCCTAGGTCATAGAAGCAATAACTATGCAAAAATAACAATAACAGATAAATATTAAAATATATGCATATTTGTCTGGATACACCTAGTATAATCTACTAATGTTTCACCAAATTTAAGGTGACAATCAGCAATCATCCAAAACTTAGAGCAATATTATTGCTTCTTGAGGTGGAGAAGAAAGAAGTGCTTGCCAAAGAAAGAGGACTGCATTTTTACTGATAGACTTTTCTCATACTAAGAGGCTTACTATTGCCAGACACTGTGCCAAGTACTTTACGTGGGTTTTCTCATTTATTTTCACAAATAATTACATGTGGTTGGTATTATTTTTAGCCCAGTTTGGAGAAATGAAGTAACTTGTTCAAAGTTACATTACTATTACGCCATTTATGCCAGAGGTTGCAAATTTTTTGGCGTGAAATATCAGACTTTGGCAATGACCTTGAGCAGTAGGATATAAATAACTTCCACAAGCTTAGTGTTTCAATAATGGAACACTAGGCATAAATGGACTAACTCTTGTGGCAGGGTTTGAACATAAGCAGGCTAAGTGCAGAGCCTGTGTTCTTAACCTACAGATAATATTGTATTAAATATTCCCCAACAATCCCATGAGATAAGGTATTATTATTATTATTATCCCTATCTTAAAGGGATAAGATTGAGGCTCAGAAAACAAGATCACATAAGATCTCTGATAGAGCGAGGATTCAATACAAGTCTAAATCCAAAGCCATGTACTTAACTACTCTCTCTCTCTGAGTCAACATATAATTTGTAATGTCCACCCTGTAGAGATTACGTAGACATTAGGATAGGCAGTTCCCCCTGCCTAGACACTAGCATAGGCAGAAGTAATATAAAGATGATTAAGACAGTCCTTTCTCTCAAGAAGTTCACATTTATAGGAAAAGTCTAGAGCTTTCTACTCAAAAGTTTGGTCCATGGACCAGCAGTTATGGGCGTCACCTGGGAATTTGCTAGAAATTAGAATCACAGACCCGACCTCAGACTAACTGAATCAGAATCTGCATTTTAACAAGGTTTCCAAGTGTTTCATACATACATTAAAACGTTGGCAGCACTGGTCTAATGGACATTTTTAAATAATTCGTATTGTATCCAATTGCGGAGTTTCCAGGCAGAGCTATCAGCTAGATGCCAGGTAACACAACATCAATGTTTGTTTTCAACATTTTCTCTAGCTTCCTAAAAAGAGGCACCGTTGCCTAAAATTCACTGTTTCGGGTGAAGTGGTTTTCTTAGATTCACATAATTGGACCTCTCACAAGTTTTAGAAAGTTGCAGGGAGAATAAGGAGTATTTAGGTGTAGTTTTTACAGGAATCATGGACTACTAAAATATGCCAATACAGTAAGCCAGACCAACCAATAGGGACCTTCAGTAAAATTGGCAAGGGTCTTTTTCTTTATTAACTTCATGCTGTAACATTTTTTTTTAAATTTAATTGTCTTAGAGCCAGAAATGAAACAACAGTCATGAACTCAGTCAGAGAAAGTGGGGAAATAAAAAAATAAACTCGTCATACTACATTTGCAATAGAGGAACCAAAACCCAACAGACCTCTGTACCAACGCTTGCCCTGGTCAGAGCCTACAGGGAAGTGAGCTCATCCAGGCAAGTGCCTAAGCCATGGGTGAGAATGGATCTCTCTCCATCTACTGCAAGGGACAATCATCTTAAAAACTAGACATTTTTAGTAAGTAACACTTTTAAAAATTAAGTTCTGATTCTAAACTGACTATTATAAATGATTCCCACCTTTAAGGCCCTTGAAGTTTGGAATGCTTTGATAATGGATTGCTTTGATAATTTTATAAAACCACAATGTCCTACTTGTGAAATGGTGAGAATTCCTTACACTGTTCAGTGGAGGTCAGCAGGGACTACTGAACCTTCCAGGAGTACAGCACATAAAATGGCCCTGGTAGCATTTAATAGAACTATTAAAGACTAGTTTTTTACCAATGCACAAGCATTATAATCAGATGGAGGAGGGTAAAGTAGAAATACACAAATTTTAGACAGACCTGTGTGTACCCTTGGGTAAGTTATTTTCTTTCTCTGAACCTTAGTTTCCTTATTTGTAAACGGAAATTTTACATTTTTCTCATTTGCAAAATATCTGCTTTGCATGCTGGTTATAAGGATATGTGGTAATATATGTAAAATACCTGGCACTCAACAAATGGTAATTATTATTCATAATTACTCAAAAAATTGTGAAAGAAGTAAGTACACTTGAGTCCCATAGTAAGACACATCACAGTTGACCATAGTTGGATAATAATGAGGAAAAGTGTCTGAGTTGGGGACTTAACCTCTAAGAACATTTAAAGGAGGAAGAGAGGAGAGACAGGACTGGAACTTCTGAACATATGTTTTAATAAATGATGGCAGCTAAATGCTATGCTGGGCTTTTAATCACACACGTTATCAGAATGTAGACTATCAGAAATGATTTCTACAAAGATGCCTGTTTAGTTGGCATAATGTTCTTATCCTCCCCCATTGCAATTTCCTTTGACCCTCCCAAAGTGTAACATTGTAGATGTTCTAACAGTCCTGCATACCACTCTCTTCTCCTAATCTTTTAGGAGGCTGTGCCACTAACTCCCAAGCTGGAGGGCTTCCTGCTAAGCCAGCTAGACAATCAGTGAGTCTAAGAATGTCCTAAATCATTTTTGTAAAAAGACATTTGGTTCTACTCTTGCAACATAAGCAATAAAGACCTAAGGGTTGGAAGGACTTGCGTGAGGTCACAGCTAGTGGCCAGAGCTTCCAGACCAGCACTCTTCCTACCCTGACCCTCTACTTCTTCCCCATTGCTTCTCCCCTCAGTAGTGGTCTCTTTCCTTCTCTTTTTCTTTTATGTACTATGTCTCTATTATAGTTCCTCATAGAGTCATTGGGCCTCAACCATTATTATTATTTACAATCCATACTACAAATGATGCTTATAAGGATGACACACCTGTAGTTTTAACACAGACTCATTGTAAAATGCAACATTGACCATTTCTTGATTAAAATATGAACAGATGACTGTAGTACACATTTGGATATGGCATGCAGTGAAATTCCAATACTCTATTTAATTCATAACACAGAGCTTGGTTGGGGTTCAATGTATTCATACATTTTTATTAGTCTCAATTGAAAGATTTTAAAAGATGAATAAATTACTTTCCTATTTGCTTCATCTGCTATTGCAGACTATACCCAACAGATGTCACATAAGAAATTCAAATTGTATCTTCAAATGGAACATAGCTTTAGTAATGAATAATTCAACAGAATAACTAAAAACCAGAATAATTTTTAGAGCCATTTCTTTTTCTTTCTTTCTTTCTTTTTTTTTTTTTTTTAAGACAGTTTCGCTCTGTTGCCCAGGCTGGAGTGCACAGTCTCGGCTCACTGCAACCTCTGCCTCCTGGGTTCAAGCATTCTCCTGCCTCAGCCTCCTGAGTAGCTGAGACTACAGGCATGAGCCACCACCGGCTATTTTTTTTGTATTTTTAGTAGAGAGGGGTTTCAACATGTTGGCCAAGCTGGTCTTGAACTCCTGACGTTGAATGATCTGCCTGCCTTGGCCTCCCAAAGTGCTGGGATTACAGGAGTGAGCCACGAGCCATTTCTGTCACTGGACAGGAACTGTTAGTGGAAAAATACTCACCTGTTTATTTGACCATTTTCTACTTCGGTGAAATCATTGGAATCATTGCTAATGTTATCATCCTCAGGCACTGTCATGTTTTGCAACTCAGTTAATTCGAGTCCACTTTTGAAATGCATCATGATTAGAAAGTATTTGTAGTTCGAAAATTAGTCCAAATTTCTCCTGTTCTGAGTGTATTTAGAAGTAGATAGCAAAAATGGAAGCTTGACACCCCTAAAATATAGCAAAATAAAAAAATAAACAAATGAAAATGCTACTGATTAAAAATAAATTACCACAAGTAAACAAGTAGTTAATTTACTGACTACAACTTTTACATGTTGCTACTAGAGGCATTAAAGCAATCTTTGTCTACCAAGTTATGTAGGTGTATCTAAATTTTATGCCTTTTATAAATTTTTCTCCCATTTTTAACTATACAGTGAACCATGTACCATAATCTTAGTGATCAGATTTATAGGAATATCATGTTAGCTATAGGTAACAGAGATTCCCATTTATGAAGCAGTGATTTTTTTTTTAAGACGTCGTTTTGCTCTTGTTGCCCAGGCTGGAGTGCAGTGGCGTGACCTCAGCTCACTGCAACCTCCACCTCCCAGGTTAAAGCAATTCTCCTGCCTCAGCCTCCCAAGTAGCTGGGATTACAGGCATGCGCCACCACACTCGGGTTTCTCCATGGGCAGGCTGGTCTCCAACTCCCAATCTCAGGTGATAGTCCTGCCTCAGTCAGCCTCCCAAAGTGTTGGGATTACAGGTGTGAGCCACTGAGCCCGGCCTGAAGCAGTGTTTTTAAAATAAAAACAATTCAGTTATTTTAATATGTCAGATCACAGAGCACACATATAGCTGGATACAGACTGCACAGACACAAAAGCACCTTCAGTTTAGCAATCTCAGCTTTAAAAAAATGCAAATCCTCAATAAATGGCATCACCGGGGATCAAGTACCCAACCCGGTAGTCAACCAGCAAACAACAAATTTGTGTTTTGAAATTTTGCACGTAGTTTATCCATCAACTGCAAGAGATTAGACCAATCTCTTCAATGAAATCACTTTATGTCAGGGAATTAGGGAATTAAAAACTCATACTCAAAGGATTTGGTTTAATCCAACTGCTACTATATTACTCCTCAGAAATGAAAAACTTCCAGAGTTCACATTTTCTCCCATATGGATGACTGTGGTTTAAATTTCTGAGGGATCACCCATAGTAAGCAGGGAGGAAAAAAGTTTTGGGGGCACAGCAGCCTCATGAATTAAAAAGCAGATGGCTTGTCTACAGCCATGCCACCCTGAACGTGCCCAGTCTCATCTAAAAAGCAATGGCCATAGAGGCAAATGCAACTTCAAAAGCAAGGCCTATAATGAATGGGGAACCTCACTGTGATACTTTCAGCAAAGTGATGGGGAACATGGCATGAAGTAGAATGTCAATGAGCTGTTTTTTTTTTTTTTTTTTAAATGCCATCAGCCAATCCCCTTGGACAATGTTTTGTGTTTTGTCTGATCCTACATTCCATAAGAAGGCTGTAGCCTAGTTTAGGGTCAAACCCCAATGTGCCCAACTAAGTAGTATCTCAAGAAGCATCTTACTAATTTCTATTATTTTGAAGACCTACAGAAAGTACCCTAGAATAATAACTTTTCCAGGCATCCTTCTCTTTTCCTCTTTCCATAGCCAGGCCACACATTATGCTTTTCATTCACACAGTCTCCTATCTAGAATAAAACTGCCCTGGTTTCAGGATCCTGTAATATGCCACAACATACACATGTTTCTAACATTTCAGGTTCTAAGAACCTCGTCTTTTCTTCAGGGTAGGGGACCTCCTCAAGAAGGAGGAGAGACAGGCAGGGAGATTTGAGCCCTATGACTCCTGGTCTGAGGCTGATTCCTCTAACCACAGTGGTGGTGCTAGAGACTGGCCCATCTCTGATTGTTTCTAGTACCTTCATGCAGTGGTGATGTTTTACCATCTGCTTTATTTTGCAAAAGCTGAAATGAATTAAAATGGTTAAGCCCCACTCTTATCCCTTGGCCCTCTTTGATGAAAGCTGTCCAAATGGGCAAGACTGGGTAATTTCTAAGTCTTACCACACTGACTCCCTCTTGTGTGACTACATCACAGGCTACTGAAGTGATATTACAGGGCTGATAGAAAGTTAATTCAGTGGATGGCATTTCCAATCTGGGTTAAGGAGACTTTTCTCTGCAAAATGGAAAGAAATAGGGCAGCAGACAAAAATTTTCTGTGGTGAGAAAGGATTGACTAATAATAATAGAACTCAAGTCTACTGTTTAAATTTTCATATTAAAAATACATACGTCTGTATACATGTGTGAGTGTGTGTATGCATATCACACATACACACACGTAAAACTAGTAAAAAATAGAAAAGTCAGAAGAATAAAAACAATAGATGAAGCCTTGGCCACTAAAATTAGGTCAGTATTATGCAAATACCATTACAAATTAATTACAAAGAATACATTTTTATTATTATTAAATAACGTCTCTGAAACCTAACTTGTTCTTGAAAATCAAAATGGAAATTGAAAGGAAAAATTAACAAGATTAATGGCACCTATCACCAAGGCTACACTTGAAAAAATAGTATCAATTCAATTTATCATATATTTATTGAGTACTAAGTAATGAAGGGATTGAAAAAGTTTGAATTTACAAAAGAAGACATATGAGGCCAGCAAACATGAAAAAATGCTCATGATCACTGGTCATTAGAGAAATGTAAATCAAAACTACATTGAGATACCATCTCACGCCAATTAGAATGGCGATCATTAAAAAATCTGGAGACAACAGATGCTGGAGAGGATGTGGAGAAATAGGAACACTTTTACACTGTTGGTGGGAGTGTAAATTAGTTCAACGATTGTAGAAGACAGTGTGGCAATTCCTCAAGGACCTAGAAATAGAAATTCCATTTGACCCAGCAATCAATTATTGGGTATATATCCAAAGGATTATAAATCATTCTACTATAAGGATACATGAACACAAATGTTCATTGCAGCACTGTTTACAATAGCAGAAACTTGGAACCAACCCAAATGCCCATCAATGATAGATTGGACAGGGAAAATGTGGCACTTATACACCATGGAATACTATGCAGTCATAAAAAACGATGAGTTCATGTCCTTTGTAGGGACATGGATGAAGCTGGAAACCATCATTCCCAGCAAACTGACACAAGAGCAGAAAATCAAACACCGCATGTTCTCACTCATAGGTGGGTGTTGAACAATGAGAACACATGGACACAGGGAGGGGAGCATCACACACTGGGGTCTGTTGGCGGAAAATAGGGGAGGGACAGCGAGGGGTGGGGAGTTGGGGAGAGATAGCAAAGGGAGAAATGCCAGATATAGGTGATGGGGAGGAAGGCAGCAGATCACACTGTCATGTGTGTACCTATCAACAATCTTGCATGTTCTTCACAAATGCAATAAAAAAATGCAATAAAAGCTAAAGTGCAATAAAAAAAACAAAAAAAAGAAAAAGGTTGAAAATTGTTAAATGCAGGGATCTCCAGCAGCTTCAGAGAAAAGTCACATTTGGATTGCACCTTGAAAATTTTTTTTTCCTAATACTAAAAGTAGTAATACAATGTCTGGGCATGGTGGCTCACATTTGTAATCCCAACACTTTGGGACATCCAGGCAGATCACTTAAGCCCAAGAATATGACACAACATGGCAAATCTCATCTCTATAAAAAAAAAAAGAAAAAAAATTAGCTGAGTGTGTAGCGTGTGCCTGTGGTCCCAGCTACTTGGGAGGCTGTGGTGGAATCACCTAAGCCTAGGGAGGTCAAAGCTCCAATGAGGTGTGATCATGCCACTGTGCTCCAGCCTGGGCAACAGAGTGAGACGCTGTCTCAAAAAATAAGTAAAGGTAACACATACTCACTGTAGAATCTTTAGAACAGATATTGTAAAAGAAATTCTGCCACTCCCAAATGGGCTCCTGTTAAGCTTTTCCTTCCTTTTTTTCTTCCATTTTCCTTCTCCTTTCTTTTCTCTAGCTCCTCTTCCTTCTCTTTTTTAAATTTAGCATTGGTGATTTTAGATTGTTTTTAACCTACTTTTTTTCATTGAGTATTATATTGTAAGCATTTAGAAGAACAGAAGTGGTTCTTTTAAAAAATATTAGTTCTTTATTAATAAATGCTAATTTGTTTATTTAAAAAAATGAATAAATGAATGAATTAATTAACTAATATAGTTTGGTGGAAAAGTTAGAAAATACAATTTTTCAAATGGAATAAAACGAGCAAAAAGAAAAAGTTCACCTGTTATCTCAGCAAGCAGAGACAATCACTGTATATGTATCGCTGTATGGCCTTCCACAGTTTTTCTGTGCACATAGATATAGTGCCTGGCACACAGTAGACACTCAATAAATATCTGTTAAATGAAAGAATGAGCACAAATAAAAAAAATATACATATTTACAAAAAATGGAAATTATACCTAACATTGAGTTTTTAAAACATTTTTTTCACTTAACAAGATATTATTTCCTATCTTGAGTTATGTCAATAAGCACAGGTCTACACCATTACTGTTGATGCTTGGTTAACTCTAACAGAAATTGACATCTAACCAGTTATTGCTGTACATTCAGACTGCTTAGTGGAGAGGAGATTGACAGATGGAAATGGGGCCTGAGCTGAGACTTTTCAGTGGAGGGAAAACATGGTCAATGGCACAGAGGCGGGAAGTGCAGATTGAGTTCAAGAAACAAAGAACTGTAGTTTCACTGAAAGAGAGAAATAATCATCAGCCTATATGATTAATTAAAAGGAAGACTAGGTTAATCATGTGAAGGTCTTGGTGTTAACACAACCATAATTACTATCTGCCAACATTTATAATAGGTTACAAATGACAATTTAGCACAGAATATTTCTGATTCTTACCACAATCTTGTGAGGTACTTAAGGAAGGCATCAATTTCTTGTTATGCTTATTGGTACATTTTATTAAAAGAACCAATGTAAAATACATAATCTTGCTATTGATACTGCATGGTGTTATATATCAGAGGAGAGGATACACAAAGAAACTTATCTGGCCTTAAGTCACTTAGAGCCTATTTAAGCAAGACCAACCCATCTAAAATGACACTGTACCTCAAAATATTTGCATGATATAGACCAAACACCATGGCAGAATGAATAATAAGTCCAGAAGGATTTCAGAGATATACATATCTACATAGTGCATACATGCATGAAGGAGAGAAGGAAGCAACGAAGGAAAGAGGAAAAGAAAGTAGAAAGGTGGAGAAATCAATGAGACCAATGAGATCAGGTAAGGTTTCATTTAAGAAAGAGGTAGGATCTCAACTGTGTCTAAAAACAGGTAATATTAGATTGGGGGAGAGGGAACGCTTTCCGAATGCTAGGGACGGTACTGACAGCCTAATTGCTAACACTTTGTGGTGGACTGATGCACTCAATATTTGTTCCCACCTCCTTTTAGTCCAGTTCTACAAAGGATAGAAAGTTGAAAACTATATTTCCCACACTCCCTTGCAGCTAGGGTTCTAGATATAATTTAGATTCCACCAATGGAAGAGTGCTGGTGGCCAGAGCAAGGCATCCATTTTGCTGGTACCATTCTAGCAGGTGCTGCAGTAGCAGGTGGCCCTGTAGTCAACAGTTGTGGCTATGATTTTTGATCATCAGATTTGGCTCAAGTGATGTGTTTCTGGAGCATGCCTTGAGCTAATGGCTTCCTGATTTCCTGACTTCTTGAAGGAGGCGCAGATAGCATTTACCCTTAGCAAGTGAGTTTAATATGTTGTTATGCTAATTATTTCTAGAGGCCCAGCCTAGAGCCTGCACTGCCAATAATTTTAACAAATTTGTAGGCACGGAATTCCCTGTGTTAAATCTGTTTTCCTTGGCATAAACAGATTTCTGTTAAATGAAACTAAATCCTGACTGATATCCTTAATTTTGTTTATTTCTCCCTTAAATTTTTTCTATTACTGGAAATTTTAAACATATGTAAGGGTAGACAATGGTATAATGAATTCCCATATACCAACTTCAGTTATCAATTCAGGCCTGTCTTGTTGGATTTTTTATGCCCACCATCACCTAGAATTATTTTGCAGCAGGTCCCCGATATCATATCATCTGTAAATATTTCAGCATGAATCTCTGAAAGGCAAGAACCTCCTTCTTAAACAATACCACGACATCACTATTAAACCTAAAAAAATAACAAAAATGTTTAAATAATACTACATATCCTGCCACACACACTTATTTTTAAAAGTTGTCATGAATCATCATTGGTTTTTTATTATGAAGAACTAATATAATCAGACCTCTCCTAGCTCAACTCCTGAGAATCAATTATGAAAGCTAGGTCAGTGATTTTGAGAAAGTATTAATAGATATTTCTCCAAAGAAGACATAAAAATGGCCAAGGAGTATGTGAAAAAGGTGCTCAACATTATTAACCATCAGGGAAATGCAAATCAATACCACAATGAGCTATCATTTCACAGGTCTTAGGACAACCATTATCATAAGTCAAGAGATATCAAGTGTTGGCAAGGGTATGGAGAAAAAGGGAATCTTTGTACACTGTTGGAGAGAAGGTAGATTGGTGCAGCCATTGTAGAAAACAGTATGAAGGTTCCTAACAAAATCAAAAGTAGAACTTTACTTGTTCATATGACCCAGTAATCCCACTTCTGGATATATACCCAAAGAAAATGAAATCACCATCTCATAAAGACATGTATACTCCCATGTTCATTGCAGCATTATTCACAATAGCCAAGATATGGAAACAACCTATGTGCCCATTGATGTGAATGGATAAAGAAACACAGGCACATATAAAATAGAGTATTATTCAACCTTAAAAAAGAAAGGGATCCTCTCATTTGCTACAACATGGATGAATCTGGAGGACATTATCATAAGCAAAATAAGCCAAAGATAGAAAGAAAAATACTGCATGATCTTATGTATACATGGTATCTTTTTTTAAAAGAAGTCTAATACACAGACATAGATAAAACAGTTGTTACAAAGAGTTTGGGGAGGAAATGTGGAGGTGTAGGTGAAAGGATATAAAGTTGCAGGTATGTGGGATGAACAAGTCTAGGGGTACAACATGAGGATTGTAGTTAACACGGTTTGAGTATTCCTTATCAAAAATGCTTGGGACCAAAAGTGTTATAGGAAAGGGGTACTGATCTAGACCCCAAAAGAAGGTTCTTGGATCTCATCCAAAAAAGAATTCAGGACAAGCCCACAGTGCAAAGCAAAAGCAAGTTTATTTAGACAGTAAAGGAATAAAAGAATGGCTACTCCATAAACAGAGTAGCCCCGAGGGCTGCTGGTTGAACATTTCTATGGTTATTTCTTGATGACATGTCAAACAAAGAGTTGACTATTCATGCCTACCCTTTTTAGACCATATAGGATAACTTCCTGACATTGCCATGGCATTTGTAAACTGTCATGGCACTTGTGGGAGTGTAGCAGTGAGGATGATTAGAGGTCACTCTCATTACCATCTTGGTTTTGATGGGTTATAGCCAGCTTCTTTACTGCAACCTGTTTGCATTAAGGTCTTCATGATGACCTGCACTTTGTGCTAACCTCCTAATTCATTCTGTGACTTAGAATGCTTTAACCGTCTGGAAGTGCAGCTCAGTGAGCCTCAGCCTCATTTTACCCAGCTCCTATTTAAGATGGAGTTGCTCTCATTCACATGGCTCTGACATACCCCCCTCCCTTTTATAAGAGAACCCTTAATCCTAAGGGTTGCAGAGGGACAAAGATCCATCTTCTGTAACTTCCTCAGACTGAATATGGGCAATGATATTCCTGCCTAATTATGAGAATCTCTTGTATTCAGGGTAGAGAAGAGCTCATTCAGAAAGCATCAGTATGGAGAAGGACATTCATGACTTAAGTTCTGACAAAAAGTGATGTTTGGAAGATTAATAAGTGGTCAATTAAAGAAAACATTGAGTAAGCTTATCCTTATTCCTATACAGAGTACAATAGCAATGTATTCCACGAGAGTAAAGCAAAATAAGTAAAATTATCAAGTAAACTAAATTATAAGGCTTTCCCTGAACTGAGCAACTGTTGGAACCAAGCTGATATGGGGTTGCTAGATGATTCCAGTGTGTCCAGAATTAGAATATTGATCTAGATTTTTACATTATCCATCCCTCTTGTTTCTTCTGAGCAGCAGCTAGAGATCACTTGTTGGTTCACAGGAATAAGCAAGGTTAGCCTAAATTGCAGAAACAAACTTAAAAACAACTGATGAGACTAGAATTTAATAACAAGTGTACCATAGTTCTTAAAACATAGTTTCTCTCTCCAGTTTCCCATTTTTAACTAAAGACAAATCATAGTAACACTGATTTGCTTTATTATACTTGGCCTGATTTTTTGTATAAAGTGCAGCAAGAATAATTATTTTTCACATAAGCCTTTTGTAATTGGGCTTTGATGGAACTCTGCTCCATAGAAGGAATCTCACATAAGACTTTTTTAGAGCCAAGCCTTGCAATGGGTTTGAACCCTCAAATACCTGTGAATTGGGTAAATTTCTCTCCTTTTGAGGTCCCAAGATAACTTGGGACTCCTGGACCTGTTAGAAAGTGACATTCTTACCACAGGTTAGAAACCCCATATAGGGACTGTGTAGGCAAGTAGGAGGCCAATTCCCCAAAGGGCTTTTATTGGCTTTACAGGTCAAGTTTGATTCCTTAAAGGGAAGCATGTCATTCCAGTCAAAGCTTGGTAAAATAACCAGTATCTCCAGGTGTGTCCTGTTACAAAAGAAAACAGATTCTTATTGCACTTATGCAAATAACTATATTGCTATAAATTAAGAATACTCACAGATAGTTTCCAGATTCTGGAAAAATCAGGTAGAGAGAAACAAACATGCTCCAAATTTTGTTCAGAGGAATATACTTTTGCATATAAATACAAATAGCTCAAAAATAGCTGTAAATAGCTCAAAAGAAAAGTTTCCTTGACTCTGAAAAACAAAACAAAGGGTCAGCAGTATTTTAAGCAAAGTCAAATTATTACTTTAGAATTCTATTGTTTCAGTTAATTTAGTTAACTCCTGTTCTACTTGATATTCATGAACATTTCAGCCCTCTCTGAGAGTTCTGAAAGTATTTTCTTCTATTCTAATATCACAATTTCCAAAGGTATCAGAAACTTGCATTTAAGAACCTCTGTCAAAGTCCTATAGCTGATTATTAAACCACCTTTTAAAGAGGATTAAAACAAGACAATAATTTTCTATGGATAACAAAATCTTTTAGAACAGCCACTATTAAAGCCACAGTTGACTAGAAAATTTGGGTTACCCCTGTGGCACACAATGATTTTATGTAACAATTATAATTATTAATAATATACACTAAGTCATATCAGAATTTTAGAAGTTTCCCATATTTTGGAACACATACCAATAACATATTTATACAAATATAGCCCAAAGAAAACCAAACACCATTTTATACTTGATAATGCTTCCTATATAACTTTTATAGCAAATAAACCAAATATCACTGTTGCATTAGTGCATTATTGATGTCAAACCCAATTCTGTTTTTTTCAATGCTGAAATAATTTCTTTGTCTTTAATTATACTTTAAGTTCTGGGGTACATGTGCAGATCATGCAGGTTTGTTACATAGGTATACACGTACCATGGTAGTTTGCTGCATCCATCCCCTCGTCATCTACATTAGGTATTTCTCCTAATGTTATCCCTCCCCAGAGTCTCCCTCTATCGCCAGGCTGGAGTGCAGTGGTGTGATCTCAGCTCACTGCAACTTCTGCCTCTGGGGTTCAAGCGATTTTCCTGCCTCAGCCTCCCTAGTAGCTGGGACTACAGGCACACACCATCACACCCAGCTAATTCCTGTATTTTCAGTAGAGATGGGGTTTCAACCATGTTGGCCAGGATAGTCTCAATCTCTTGGCCTCATGATCTGCCTGCCTCGGCCTCCCAAAGTGCTGGTATTATAGGCGTAAGCCATCATGCCTGTCCAGTCAAACCCAATTCTTAATGAAACTTTCTAGATAAATGCATTTAATCTTAATCAGTTTGACCATAAGGTAAGATTTTCATAAACCTTTTATAACCCTTTACAAATTTTTGTTAAAGAGCAGATCATAAACAGGTTTTTGCTCTAAGAAAAACAGTTGTGCTTTTATTCCAGTGTTTAACTTATGGAAAAACTGAATAATACCCCTTTAATTTTTGCCCATGTCCACATATACAATCTTTTTTTACAAGATTAATTTTTTACAAACTTTCCATAACTTTCTTAACCTTCAGCATTATTCTATCTTACTTAAAACAATCATTTAACCATTTAATTTGGGCACGAAAAATCCACATTCCCATACCTTCTTATAATCTTTCACCAAAAACACATTCCACTTTTCTTACACACTTTGCGTGTAGAACTGTTTTGTCAGTAGTCTTAATTATTACAATGTTAACTCTTAGCAACTTTTACTTTTGATGAAAACCTTGGTAAGTGCAGGATTTTAATTATGTAGTAGGTGTGGAGCCTAGGATAGTACACAGAAGTGCAGATAAGGGCTGGCTTTTTCCAGCATACCTGGGGGTGTGGCTAACTCCACATGTCCCTGGACTTATCTAGACTCTAATGCTCCAAAGTAGGTAAATTGAGCAATTTTCAAAAGTCAAAGAAGCAGTTTATGCCCTTAAAGCATTTAGCAAACTTAATATCTGACCTGCATAATTTAGACAAAATGTCTTTATTGTACCAATAATCTTTAAAACTATTTTTATTTCCCAAAGATTACTTAAGTCACATGAACTAAAAGGCATTACACTTTTTACTTTTCCAACAAAATATTTGATTTAAGTTCATTATTATTAAACCAATTAATTAAAGTTCTTTTATTTTACACACACATAATACATTTAAATACATAGACAGAAGATAAAGAATCATCCCTCTAAACCAGGAATTGAACCTTGAACCTGGGCTGCCATTGTGATGGCAGAGACCAAGGGAAAGTACTGCCACATGGTTACAAGGTCAAGCTCCCAAGGTGACTGACTAGAAGGAAACCTCATCAAGTTTGCGTGCACCCACACCCACACCCACAGAGAGAGAGACCAGAAGTCTGACTGGTAAGAAATTCTTGCCTTATTGCCAGCTTGCCAGGCTTCTGGGTTCCCCCTCCCTGAGACCTGGCTGGCTGCATCACAGCCCTGAGGGCCAAGCCACAACACAAAGGAAATTTATCTTTTTCCATTCTGGCCAGAGCAAAATATGTGTGACAAGACATAGATATTATCCACTCTGCTTAATACCCAATATGAAACTGGCAAGGCTCAAACTTGCCCCCATCATTGTTAACCCAACCTCCAACCAAGAGTTTCAACATGTTGTCTCTGGGTAAGATGGTCACCCTGAGTAACAGAAAAGATAAGAAATGGAAAGGAGAGAGAGAAAAGCATTGCCTGTGGCAGGGTGGAGAAGGTGAAATGCTCAGGGAGGCCAGAAAAAGACCCACCCACTGCAGCGTCACTGAAAAGTTCAGGTAGCTGCTTGTCAGTCGAGAAGAGATCTTTTGCAGTAGTCCCGTCAGCTCTCAAGTTTCCCCTTTTGGTTAAGAAAAAGCTCTCCATGTCCCACGACTTTGAACATGCCTAATCCTGTCACCCACAGCCATCAGCAGGGACCGGAAGGCAGACTACTCCAAAGAGAATAGCAGTTAACGTGCTGTAATACCAAGCCCATTCTTAGCCAAGAAGGACTTTACTGAGAGGGACTTCTAACCCCCTAAATCTTAGGAGGATTTCTAAGCCTCCTAAGTTGGGCCCCTAAGCCAAAGTTGGTCAAGTGTCCTTGTCTTTTACTGAGAGGAGGCTTTAACCCTCTGTCTCTTAGGAGAGACTCAAATTCTCTTAAGTTGGGCCTCTAACCCAATCCCATTCATTACCCGGTTACCCCCGCCCCCGGCCCCGTCCCCACTTACCCAAAGTCAGCTGATCAGTACTGCAGTCTATTACCTTTCGGTTGTAGGGCTTCTTCAGTATTGTACCTTCGGGCTTTGCCAGAAAAATGTTACCAGCCCCTACCACTTAGCCAAAGTTAGCTTTTGGGTTGGGGGTTTCCTCACTATAGTTGCTTCAGTAGTTGCCAGAAAGATGTTGTTATAGGACCCACTTACCCAAAATTAACTTTCGGGTGCAGGGTTTCCTCACTATAGTCGCTTCTACGGTCACCAGAAAGATGTTACAGGACCCCAACACTTACTGGGGGTTTCTGCACTGTAGCCCCTTTGTGGTTGCCAAAAAGATGTTACAGGAAAAGGGTCCTGATCCAGACCCCACAAGAGGGTTCTTAGATCTTGCACAAGAAAGAATTCGGGGTGAGCCCATAAAGTGAAAGCAAGTTTATTAAGAAAGTAAAAAAAATAAAAGAATGGCTACTTCAGAGTCAGAGCAGCCTTAGGGCTGCTGGTTGCTCATTATGGTTATTTTCCTATGATATGCTAAACAAGGGGTGTGTTATTCATGTGTCTCATTTTTAGACCATATAGGGTAACTTCCTAATGTTGCCATGGCATTTGTAAGTTGTCATGGCGCTGGTGGGAGTGTAGCAGTGAGGATGACTAGAGGTTATTCTCATCACCATCTTGGTTTTGGTGGGTTTTAGCCAGCTTCTTTACTGCAACCTGTTTTATCAGCAAGGTCTTTATGACCTGTATTTTGTACTGACCTCCTATCTCATTCTGTGATTTAGAATGTCTTAACCATCTGGGAATCCAGCCCAGTACATCTCAGCCTCATTTTACCCAGCTCCTATTTAAGATGGAGTTGCTCTGGTTCACTTGCCTCTGACAGAAGTAGTTCAGATTTTGGATATTTTGGATTTTGGAATATTTGCATACATATTATATCTTGGGTATAAGACCCAAGTCCAAACTTGAAATTCATTTGTTTCATATACACCTTACAAACATACCCTCAAGGTAATTTTACATAATATTTTTCATAATTTTGTCCATAAGACAAAGTTTTCACTGCATTTTGACTGTGACCTATCACAGGACGTTAGGTGTAAAATGTTCTGCTTGTGGCATCATGTCAGTACTCAAAAAGTTTTAAGTTTTGGAGCATTGTATGTTTTAGACTTTTTAAAAATGTATTTATTTAGTTATTTATTGAGATGGAGTCTTGCTCTGTCACCCAGACTGGAGTGCAGTGACAAGATCTCCACTCACTGCAACTTCCGCCTCCCAGGTTCAAGGGATTCTCCTGCTTTGGCCTCCTGAGTAGCTGGAATTACAGGCACACACCACCATGCCCAGCTAATTTTTGTATTTTTAGTAGAGACAGGTTTCACCACGTTGGCCAGGCTGGTCTTGAATTCCTAACCTCAGATGATCCACCTGCCTCGACTCCCAAAGTGCTGGGATTACAGGCGTGAGCCACCGTGCCCAGCCAGGGTCTTGAATTTTTGGATTAGTGATGCTCAACCTGTAATATTGTGTTGTATATTTGGGATTTTTGCTAAAAGAGTGGATTTTAGATGCTCTTGCCACAAAAAAAGAAGCGACCGTGTGACATGATGGATATATTAATTTTCTTGACTCTACTAACCATGTTATCACGCATATGAATACCAGAACATGTTGCATACCTTAAAAACAATTTTTAAAGCAGAGAAAGAAACGTTAGGCCTAAGGTCAACAACGGTCCTATAATTCCAGACCAGCTAGTCCTATAACTGATTGTGTCTGTTTACCGACTTGGGGTTCTTGGATTCTTAGGGTTCATAGGTGATAGTGATATGGATCTATGAACTAATATGGATCTATATTTCAAAAGGCCTCAAACAGGCTAAACAGATTAACTAAAAGGTCAAGTATCCATACTTTTAGCAAGACTGTATTAACTTGATGATAATCCTGAATTTTGATTGGCAATTTTCTATACCTTTGAGTAATAAAAATGGGAAATGAATTAAT